TTTGAATTCATTTGATCTGCAGTACTGACTAATTGTGATTCTGGTTTCTCTTTCTGCGGTTGAAGAATGACTTACAAATGCTGCGTGCGGACGAGCTGGTCCAAGCCTGGTGATGTTTCGGTGGAGATCGGAAGAGGCCCCGTCAACTGGTTGTCTGCGATATCGAACCAGTTCAGATTGGAAAGCTTGCCCAGGGAAGCTGGGATGCTACCGGTGAACTGGTTCGAGTTCAAAGCCCTGGGAACAAAGGAAGAGATCCAAGTATCAGCGGAGAAAATTCAGCTCCTCCTTGAATGCGTCATCTTATTGAGCTTTGAGGACTCAGGTTTTGTGATCATTCGAATTAATTCCTCACAAGTAAGAGAGGTTTCCTAGCGATCCTAGTTCGTCTGGGATGTTCCCGTTGAAGCTGCATCCCACCAAGATCCTGTCACGGATCAAAACCATTACATGTTGAACGTCTGAGAATGGTACGAAGCAAATGAATTCTTGTCGTGACAGGGCTTCTTACAGAATGGTCAGTTCCATCAGGTTCCCAATATTTGGAGTGAGCGTTCCGCCAAGCATCGTGTTGTAGGACAGATCCCTGCAAGTGCTTGTCGTCAGTTCATGCTTTCTAGATCATAGTTTATGGAGCATGGTTTCAAACTATGGTTTCGGTGGATGCTTGGTCAAAGGAGTTGAGCCATGGATCGCTATGAACTTTCACTGGTTTTCCACTGGCAAAAGAAGTACTGCTTGAGCTTGCAAGTGTAACTTACAAGATCTTCAATTCACTGAGCTGCCCGATGTCGTCTCCTAGTGTACCTTTGATACCCATGGTTGACAGCGTCCTGACACGCGCAGAAGTCGAGCAGAGAATCAAGGAAACAGGAAAGAAAATTCAGAAGAGAGGTTCTTTATGCTTATTTTTGATGGTTTCCTGAAACATGCGGGAATGCAGAGAACACTAGTAAGGAAGACGAAAGCTCACAGGCTTGTCACTCGGGAATTGCTGCACCGGACTCCTTCCCATGGTGTTCCGCAAGGATCGTCCGTCTTCCCCCAGCTTGGAGGTGTGTTCTGCCACTGCGTCATCAGCGAAAGTAGAGCAGCAGCTGCAGGGGGGCGGAAGAACAGCTTCTTATAAGTCGAAGGTGTTAGTAGAAACAAGACATCTCTGCTGAGCTTACAAGAGATCTCTAATCAATTTCAAGAGTTAAGTTTCTGGTCCTTGCTGAATCATTCACTGAATCTTCCATTAAAACTCGACACTATCAGGGTATCACCGAGAGTTAAGCGGATGTTCATCGAGCGAGAATGGAACTCTCACTTTTCTGCTTTCAGTTTTCCAAGCCACTAAATCAAGAAGAGAGAAACAGAAGGAATTGATACCATCTTGGGCATCTGTGCTTCCTGAACTGGTTTGAAGACTCGCCAGGAACACGAACAGGAGGAAGACGAGAGTCCCCATCTCAGTGCGCGGCCTAGAGAAGCGATGAAGCTCTCCACCCGCTGCAGGGCACGCTGGTCGAGTATTAGAAGCAGCTGCTGCCTGCCATGGTTCACCTCGTCATTTCTCCTGTGATACAGGTGATGAATCGTAAGGTGAAGATGCTTTTTCCCAAAGAACTGTGCTGTGCATCGACTTCAAAGTCGGTCAATCTTGGATTACCACACCAAGTTCTGGTTTTGTTTGGATCTTGGAAGACTCTCGCTGGGGTCGAAGGCAAAAGGATGTCGGCACTATGATTGATGTCAACAAGCAAAAGATTCCGATGACTCCACAGAACACCCAACGCAAGCTTTAAGGTGGCATCGGCTTCGGCTGCAACTGTTGCTAGTTGGAAGGTTGGTTGTGTGGGTTGTGGACCCTCTCCATGCCATGCCTTCCCTTCCACTCTCTTCTGCACTCGATCGAAGACCCCCCCACCGAACTTTCCGAGCTCAACTTGATACAAGCCTGTGCACCGTACGTGACATAACAAGCTGAAGATGGTTTCATGCTATGTAGTTGAAGCCATTTATTGCGTGTAGGTGGGGAGGGCAAAGATCTCACGGACCCGTGGGGAGGGCAAAGATGTGGTTTAGATGCATACACCATCATGAAATGCTGCCGATGCTGGCTCGGATACGACCATGGTGCGAAAAGCACTGGTCTCCAGGACAGGGAAGACAGGTCAAACACGGCTTCCACCCAGGCTGATCGATACAGCTTTTGTGTGTGGTTGGGCAAAGGTGACGCTGTCGTTGGATTATGTGAGCAGGGACGATGCCCAGGGAGGGATAAATCATCCTTTTCTCTTCATAAAGATCCATCCATCCTGGATGACTACGAGTGCTCATACCGATGATAGATAATGATTGATCTAATCTGAAACAAATAATATCATACATTCAAGAGTGGGAAGACATGGATGGTGATAATATGATAGACTTCTTTGACAAGTCTACTCGTGGAAGATTATACGCGCATTGGGCCTCAAGCAATCGACGAGAGCCGAAAGGAAAGGAAATAACAACGACAACATTGTCAGTCTCGATCTGATGAAGAAGTTGCAAGGAATGCTGGTCCTGCAGAGAGGGATTGGGATTCCATGGATGGCCCACAGAAATCGCGAGGAGGATTGAGAGCCTGAGACTTGGAGAAGGAATGCAATGCCAGGATGAGATTGGCATGCATTAAGTAGACGAAGGTATAATATCAAGATAAGTAGTCTCGACAAGTCCTTAAATGTGGTGGTTCGGGAATTGAGTTCGGGAGGATAACAATCTCTTTCAGCAAAATGACATTAAAAAAAATAAAGAAAATTTTATTTAGATGAATAATATATATTTTCCTCTATTTCTAATGATTTTGGACAGATTTATTATTTATATATATTCATTTTTTTTTTAAATACTAGTTTTGCTCTCATTTATATTTTGAATAGGTTTGGGTTCGTGAACCCATTGGGATCAAAACCCTCTTCGGCCTTCGTCGCCTCCTCTTTTACTCCTATCTCTTCGTCCTCATCATATGTTTTTCTACAAATAAAATGTTAATGGGATGATCATATTCTAATCAACACAAATAGAGGAAGATATGCTATTTCCAAACTTTACAAGGCCTAAAATGATAATAATAATAATAATGATAATAGTAATAATTAGACCAAAGCCATTACAACTTATCCAGTTTATATCTTCTTGTAGTTAGCACTGAAAACTACAGGTTTGCAATGTAAGGATGAACATTTTCCATCTCAGATATGAGTGAGTGAGTGGATCAAATTGACCCAAGACTGATTAGGGTGAAGAATAAGTCAAGCCTGACTTGGACTGAAACTTAACCTCCCTAATAGATATGGAGGAAGTCAACTAATGAGACCACAAGAGTCTCATCAAAGATACTGTTGGAGGGGGATCCACACATGGTGACATCACCATTAGGGAGGGTTGAAGTTGTAAATGTTAAATTTCTTTGTGAAAATAATTTTTTGAGCTATTTTCTAAACATGGAGTCCTTTTGGGGCAAAAATTATGAAAGAAAATTGTCTGGAGACCAAAAATTGTCTGGTCAAGTTTTGACTTTATCATGCTGCAAAATTATGAAAGAAAATTTGTGTGTTGTCTTCTTTGTTTCAAACCTACAACTGTGTGTCTTCGAGCTAAAAACATTAAACATATGGATGTCACTCCAACAGTATCATATCCTACTGGGAAAGTGAAGAACTCATGAACAATATCATAGATGACAATATGTTGATTCGTTCATCTTTGTGCAGAACTCATGAAGAACCAGAGAGGCTTCGGGTGCAGATTATGGAGCTTCTCGACTGCTGCAGTTGGAAGAGTTCGATTCTTCAGTCATTAATTATTCTTCTTTTTCCAAGATGGAAGTGCATAACTTGTCACAAGTATTCTTCTTTCCCATTCTTTGAGGTACTTCAGATGTTCTTCTTTCCATCTCTCTCGCTCGCTCGTGAGGATTACATAGCTTGGTTTAGACATGTTCATCTTTGTTCTTCTTTCGACTGCATCAGGTTTCTAAAGTCAAAATGGACATCAACAACCGTCAATTTGTTCGCACTATGAAGGGGACTGCCATGAACTCTGCTTTTTGGGCGGTCTCATCAAAGTCAATAGCACATCAAAGACTTTGTTATATGTTCACACCATGAAGTAATTTGTCACTGCACACGACAGCCATGACATGAGGAATTGGTTTTCATATCATCTTTTCAAGGGAAGACTTCTTGTTCTTGACATATTAGTATGCATCAGTTTTGTTCTGTGATTTCTAAACCAACAGTTATCGAGTATTGTCGGGTGGTTTTAGGAGCTAAGATCATCTCTGTGATCTTTGAAGATTGAATTCTCACCAGGCCATCAAATAAGTACTTTGGTCATAGATCAGGCAATTAATAACATATGCACTATGTAAGTAAGAGCATCAGATTCATAACTTTATTGAAATGTTGATGCATCAGAGTATGTGTATTGCATGTAATAAGAGGAGGTATACATACTGTAATTAGATGAGATGAGACAATTAGTATCAATGGTGCAAAGAAAGACAGAGGAAGACCTAAAGAGATTTTACTAGATATTATAGATAAAGATATGGATGCTCCTGTTGTAACAATTCTCCTAGATAAAGCTCAGAGAAACAATCACATAAGGATTTTACATTGTGGGGAATATGATAAAGAGTAATTTTATTAGAATGAACATAAGTTGCTAAATACTGATAAAGTGCTGACATACCGAACAACATACCAATCTTTACTCTTAGGTATCACTTGAAAAGAAAACAAATAGGCTCATTCTTCAGTCCCGGTCAGTCAGCAAAACACCATTTGATGAGTACCAAAAAGCTGAGAAAAAAAAAAGAAAATAGAAATCTCAAAGGCAGAATCAAATTTCATATCGGCATTTAATATTTTTGGATTTTCTGTAAACATCCTTGAAAATTGTTGCATGGAATACCAGTAAGCATGCCGATATGGAGTATATATAAAAAATTCCATCAACCGGCATGAAGGCTCCAAAAGAAAACAGTTACATTTGGCGCAATCTCCTACTTCAATTACAAAAGTGTTTTCTACATTGAAATGGAGATGAATGCAAGAGTCTCTCTCATAAAATTACCATATACAAAGCTAAAACAGGACAAAATGGATGCCCTAGCACTATATGAGTTGTATAAACACAGGCTAATGACCAAGTCATTGTTTTGACTGAACAGTGAGCATAGTTAGATCTGAACACGATGGATTTAGGATGAAGTGAACAGTAGAAGATTAAGTGCATATGAGTCGATTCTTAAGAGCAATCATCCAGTTAGACCTCGAACTGGTAGACGGCACAAGTACCAACTATTTGTTTCTATTCATTGTGAGAGCAAATACTTATCACTGCCATAGACACCACTGTTCACTTCGCTGCTGATGGGCATTTCATCATATGGTTGCTCAGATGCACCCCTTGCATTCCCAAAATAGGTGGCAGATGAAGATGCTGAAATTGAATTTGTCTCCAGTCTGTTGTCTTTTAATAAAATCTCAATTTCTTTCACGATATCATTCATTGTTGGACGATCTTCGGATGTATCTTCGAGACATTGCAAAGCCAATTCTACGAACCTCTGGAAACCGATTAGGGATCCAACATTCAGAATTGCTGGATCAATTATGTCTCTTAGACCGTAGTACTCTTTGTCGCTCTTATCCATTGCCATCTTCACCTCACGAACAATATATTTGCCTTTCTCTATTGGCAGCCTAGCAGTTATCAGCTCTAACATCACAACACCAAAACTATAAACATCACTTTTTGTAGTCAATTGTTGTGTCATGAAATACTCGGGATCAAGATAACCCTGCAAAGATCAACAGGAAGGATAAATGTACAAATGCAACTCCTTTTCATTATTTGACAAGCAAAATAGTGTTGTGCAACACTGAATGTTCAATAAAAATAATCAAATGATATATTATTTCACAAACATATTAACTAGGAGATTTATGATCATGAATCCTGTCCTAGACAAAAGCCTTACCAGTGTTCCCTTGACGTTTGTAGAAACATGGCCATGATCGCTGTCCAGAATTAATGTTGAGAGACCAAAATCTGCCACTTTAGCACTCAAATTGTCATCCAAAAGTATATTGGTTGACTTTACATCCCTGTGAATTATTGGAGGTTTAGCAAGCTCGTGAAGATAAGCTAAACCTCTAGCCGAATCTAAAGCTATGTTGAGTCTCTGTTTCCAGTCCAATTTTATATGACTCCTCCCTGCAGTTAACAGTTGATTATTACTAATGTCATAGATGTGATAATCATCATGATAAACAAGAACTCCATCAAACGTGTTTGAAGATTATACCAGACAAGTTCTTGGTTAAAGTTCCATTAGAAATGTACTCATATACTAGCGTGCGTTCCCCCTTTTCAAAGCAAAATCCTACAAGTTCGACAAGGTTCTTGTGATGCACCCTAGACAACATCTCGATCTCTGTTTTGAACTCAAGCCCTCCTTGCATCGAACCCTTCTGCGATCTCTTGATAGCAACCATCTGTCCATCAGAAAGCATGCCTTTGTAGACCTGCAGAGATATAAAGCACTTAAACTACAATCTCACAAATTTCATTATAAAGACATTATAATAAGATTTCTTGCCTTCCCATAGCCCCCTGATCCGATCTCATTATCTACTGAGAAACCATCAGTGAATTTCCTTAGTTCATCCAAAGAAAAACATCTTGCTAGTTTTAGATGTGGAGCATCTCCGGCATCTTCACCAGTTGATCCCCATGATGCTAAATATGGAGAATAGGAATCATCAGAAAGCCTTAAAATTTCCAGGGGCTTAGACATAATTTATAAGCATCCAAATTAGCAATACAAATTAATATAATTTCCTTCTATACACATGATTATTGTGCCTAGCACTGAACTCATGCAGATGTCACTTGTACTTTCCAACGTGCAGTGGAATTATTCATCATCTCAAAAAAAAAAAAAAATACTGGACACGATAATGTTCTTTTGGGGTCACATTACCAAAAGGATTGTTTAGGTCGATAGCTGTTTTAGCTTGCTTTTTCTGTCGTAAAGCATAGATTCCCAGCCCTGCGATGATGAACACGGCAGCAGCACAACCAACTGCTGTTCCAATGATCCAGGCTGGAGACACTGTGGGTCATTTAACAGCACCAAATAGACATGTATTGATTAGCTTTTGATAGGAAGTAAAAAGAGCTGAGTTCTTATTCTAAGAATATATACCATTGTGTTGGAAAGTATATGTATCAGGCTTGAATACGCATGGTCCATAGATAGATGGGAGGTCAAGATTTTGGGTACTCAAGTCAAACCACTGCAGTGTCTGATTCCTGGTGAAGTATTTTGCACTTTGAGGGCAAATCTTCAACTCTACTACCAGATAAGCATTAACATCGAAGAAATGATTTCGAAGAGAGTGGTGAACTGGAAACGTGTGAAGCAAAGTTGAAATTTTTTTCTCCAATTGTGATGTATCGATACTTTGGTCACTAAAGGAAGGTGCTCTGCAGATAATTGGTCCTTCATACGGGTGCGAACAACTGACTTCAGGGGAATAAGATTGTGAGTCTTGTTCCTGACCGCAAAATTCCGTTTCCTGCAGATAACGATTACTGCAAACTGGATTTCCAACAAGTCTGCATTAGGTATGAAGAGATTTATTAGTTAGACAAGGCCTTGAGGAAAGAAGATACCCTTTTGTCTTCCTCATATTTAGACTGGGACATAGAGATGAGCTTACATTATAGTTTTGTTGTAGTTGGAAGAGAGTGTAACAGAGATAAAATTATTATTTTGAAAATTCACCATCTTCAGTTGCTGACTGATGTTGCTGCCCATGTTGAGAGTGCCATTGAATGCATTGTCGTTAAGCCTCCTGTAAATTGATTACAGCAAAAGAGATAGTTCCAGTAAGTTATGCAGGCAGTGAGCTTCTTAAACATTTTATGAATCATGAAAAGTCTTACACTTCTTGCAAGTAAGGTAAGCTAAATAGTGTTTGTGGCACTTCCCCATGAAGCTTTCCAGACTCTATAATTCTGATGGCACCAAGTGATTCTTCGCTTAAACTGCTAGCTCATGAAAATATGTAATAGTCAATGCTTCAGAAGTTAGTGAACTTACAAAGTTGTGAGATTTTGTACATCTGATAGCCATGCTGGAGCTTCTGATGGATCAAATAAGTTGTTGCTTAAATTCCTGAGGATAACATCATGCAAGTACGATGTTTAGTTTTACTAAAAAGTGACAGCATCGAAATTCCTGCATAGTCAATAAAGTAGATATTCTTACAGATAATTGAGGGCGGTCATCCCAGTCAGATTTGGCATCAATCCGGTCAGCTTGTTGTTACCTAAGTTTCTATAAGCAATGGAAATGAAGAATTTGTGAATCTAACATAAAAGAATTTGTGACCATAGTATTAAATGCAATGAAGTGCCAATTACTGCTATATTTATCGACCACTTACAGAACATTGAGCCTTGTAAGGTTGTTGATACTAGAAGGAATAGATTCGTTCAGAGAATTTGCATCTAGACGACTGACAAAATGCAAGCAAATCATATTGGTGAGATGTAAATAATTAATAAATATTTTACTAATGGATGGAGCACAGATAAATAGGGTATCTGGTCAATGATCACTCACAGGACTTGAAGTGACTGGGCAAGACCTATCGACTCTGGAATTTCCCCAGAAAAGTTGTTATGGTCAAGAAGCCTGAAGAGAAACAATTGTTAGGAGAGAAATGTAGCGGCAACAGGCGGGAGCAAATTGTGGAAATGTTGCTGCTTACATATGTATAACTTTCATGTTGGATCTGAAAAGATCACTTGGAATTGGGCCTGATAACTGGTTTAGGTTCAAATGGCTGTCAAGCAAAGTGGACAAATCAATATTCATATTCAGATCCACTGCAGACTGCAGTGATCTGTTTATCAATATGGAAAATCCAAGAACCAGAGAGGCTTACAAATGCAGATTGTTCACAAGCTGGTCCAATCCTGAAGCCCCATTTGATGAAGTCGGGATAATACCAGTCAACTGATTCTCCGCCAGATCCAGCCATTCAAGATTGGAGAGCCTACCCAGAGATCCTGGTATTGTACCATTGAACTGGTTCGAGTTCAAAGACCTAGAACAGATGTTAAAGAGAATAATTAACTTCATTTTATATTTGGAAGATCAAGAACACAAAAATAGAAAGATTACAAAGATCACAATCCTTACAAGATCTTGAGATTAAGCAGATTGCCCACTTCAACTGGGATACTACCGCTGAAGCTGCAACCAATCAGTCTCCTATAAATAATGCAAAGACAATCAAGGTTATGCTGATTGCATGGTCCACTCAATATTAGAAGGGATATGAATGAGATTAGCAGAAAGTATCCTACAGTACTTACAAGGTTTGAAGCTGTTTCAAGTTCCCAATGCTTCGTGGGAGTGGACCTCCCAGATTTTTGTTGGATGAAAGATCCCTGCATATATAGATGTCAAAATCACATCACACATAAACAGTTGAATTGGCCCATGACTGGATATGGCTTGCGTAAACAAATCTTATTTGTGTCTAAGTTCTAAAACATGAATCAAGATTGAATAATTCTGTGAGTAGCATATGTCAACAAGCTTAATTTAGAGACTAGAGGAAATCAAACAGCATTAGCATTTTTATCCTCCACGGATGGGAACTACTGCCAAACATATAACAGAATTACAATTCGACGTGTGACACTTACAAGAGTGTCAGCTCGGTAAGGTTCTGTATATCACCACTCAATCTGCCCTCAATATTCATGCTGAATAGCTTCCTGGAAATCAGGAATTGGTCAACATCAAGGCCACAAATGAAGTAGTAGTTCAGGGAATATATAAAACAAATGTAAAGAAAATTGAGAACTCACAGCTCCTTCACCCTCGAACCTGTGCAGTTGACTCCATCCCACTGATCACAGGGGTCATTTGAACGCCTCCAGCTCGGAGGTGTGTTCTTCCATTGATTAGACAGAGCTTTGAGAGCAGAAACTGTCCATTTAACGCAGTCATAAGTCACCCACAATAATACAAGCTCCACATAATTCCTAACTTGGAAATTTTCCTGTAGTTTATCCTTCTAATCCGTATGCTATTAATGTCTTAGAACATGTTGATGAGAAAACGGATGGAAAAAGCTACAACTTCAGCCGGATCTATAAATATATATATCCTTGAAAGAAGCATGAAGAAAAAGAAAAAGAAACAAGTGATTTGCTGATTGCTATCCACATAATTTTACTCGTATTATCAGCGAAAGCAGAAAAGAAACATGATTTAATTTAGTTGTTTCAGTTCACAGCTTCAAAGAAAGAAGAGAGAATTACCATCTTGTGAGTCTGTGCGGCTGAAACCATGTCGAACACAAACAAAGCACATCAGCAACAGAAGAAGCCCTCCTTTCATCGGCTTGCCTGTCGTAAGATGAAGTACCATTACGGCTCTTGGCTTCCGGAGAGACGACAATCAGAGGAGTTGATCAGGATCTCATACCTTCTTAGGGAGCTAGTTGGGTACAGTGATGCTGATCTTTGCCTTTGTTCCGACTTGTTTGGGATGCGAGAAGACAAGAAAGATTATTGCAAGGATTAAAAGTTTATGCAGCATCGGATGCCAGGATTTATTGGCCATCATCGTCAACCTACCCTACGGGGACCAAGTTTTTCTCTGGAGGAGAAGTTCCACGGGATTAACAGGTCTGTTCAACCGGGGAAAGCCGTTGCTGGGTCAACGCGATTCACATCATTGGACTCGGCATCAAGCGAGTTCGGTTCCACATTACACAGACATCATAGGCATGCCCAACTCATCTATCGCAAGCGGCCCCACCAGTGGGTCCGTGATCCCCACAGCAGCTCGATCACGATCCAACTCCTCGTGCCGCGGCCACATCCCTGAATCCAGAGATCACCAGCACGTTAAACTTCCCAGAGGAAGAAGACAGAAAGCGAGAAGAAGATCTAACTCCCCTTTCGCACGCCAAGAAACATGCGTCGTCCGGAGATTTGGACGCATCACCTGGTCATCATTAAATTACAGACAGAGCAGCAGTCAGGAAGGTGCTGCCGACGCGGTTGACCTGCAACTTCGTCGGATGGGAGATTACTTTGTCGTGCTTAAAATACAGACGAAAAGTAAACGACGAGCTCTGATTAGAAGTTGAATTGACTTGTTATATCCTTCTGGATATCTGGAGTAGACAATTGCAAGCTTCAATCTGGCGAAACATCAGCCAATGGAAACAGAATGCGAGATCATGAGTTCCTTCAGGAATCAAAATATGTCTGTCAAATCAAAAAATGTCATAAAAGCAAAAAAAAAAAAAAAGGAAACTAATGTCCATGCTTAGTAATAATTAAACATTACCCTGGCAAGCAAAAAATATGGTAGCTTTTACAAACTGGTATCAGTAAGGCTGGCTCATATGTATGCGCAGCAACCCAGAACATCATACAAAATAGTAAGAGCACCATATGCAAGAATTACTCCTCTCTCCATCAACAGCAGCAGTGCACAGATCAGCCAATGTACAAAATAGTAAGAGCACCATATGCAAGAATTACTCCTCTCTCCATCAACAGCAGCAGTGCACAGATCAGCCAATGTAAAATGTATCAGAAACCAAAAGCATAGACCATGCACATTATATGATCGCTGCACATAGAAACCAGGGTGCTTACTCTACCACCGGTTTGAAGGTTTAGCATTCATAAAACAAAAGAAAATTTTCCTAAGGAGATATATCAAGTTCATAATTGGGCAAGTTCATAGTCCCATTACCAAGGGTTTACAAGATGCAGATAAAAGGAAATACATTGAGACGGAGAAATCTATTTGGAGAGTAAGTACTTACATTATACAGCCTAGTGCATCGAGCAATTAGCTATATTTCATAGACAGACATACTGTACAAGACAGTTTAACTAGAACTACCAAATTAACCCTTCCATCATGCCTAAGCATATCATACAGTACAGATCTCTAGTCATTGTTATCTACATTGCATGCCATCAGTCACATGTCCATGCCGACCAAGTAGTCTTCCTCTTCCTCTTCCTCTTCCTCCTCTTTCACCATCTCATCACCTAGGAAGCTCTCTGCAGCAAGGTTGCTGCACATAACATGGAATTTAAGTCATTTGATGGCACTGCAGAAATGACAGATATATAGCTAGGATTTTCAACCAATGGACTTATTTTGATAATTTGATAATAGCATAGAGGAACATTGGTACAATATAACAGAAATTATGCCTCACTCTATGCAAAGAACACTAGGACCCACCTAAAACAACAGCATCTGAAGCTGACGACACGCTTCAGCTTCTTATTATAGAAAAAGAAGTTGAACGACCATCTGCACCACACTAAATGCATGTTAACGGTGCTAAAATACATGACTAGTTGAGTATCATTAAGAGAATATATTACATGGCTCCTTTTTCCAAAGACAGGTCGCCTTCAAAGTCTGGGTTGTAGCTGTAGATTTCACAATCCTTTAGTTTCACAACCTGTATAGAGAGAACATATTAACACTTGACCATAATCATCAACATCAAACCTCCCGATGACTGAATGACTAACCTCATCTATGGCATTTGTCATGCTATCCATGAAGGAACTTTCCCCATTCACAATAGTCCATTCCTGACATCAAAATATTTCATACAGACAGATAGCGAACAAAGTTACCTTTGAAATCACAATCAAATTTGACTTCTAGATCAAAATTGATTTAAGTTCAAAAAAGAACAAGCTGTGGAAGAAAGAAAAAAAAAACTTTCAATCTAAGGAATTATTTTATCATTCCAGAATCATGTACAGGTTCACCATACATAACCAAAGCCTGAGAATCAAGGTAACAACGAAATCATCCTATGCTAGACCTCCTCCAGAACCAGAAAAGACTGAGAATAGGCAACAGTATTACATGATTACATCACAAGGTCACAGATGCAATAATTTCGGTCAAACAAAACATGAAGATTAAGTGTTCAAAAAGCAAAACAATTACCTAAGAAGTCAAGTTCATATATCCTCAATGAATTCATATATCTTCAATTTCAAACTATATGAAGGTATAAGAATGACAGTGATATTTCTGCCACGTTTTAAGAGCATTTGAAGCATGGTTATCAAAATGGGCAAAGACCACATAATAAAATTACCGTCACTTGCTGGCTAGACAATCCCATTCTCGACACTCTAGATAGACAAGTGATGCAAAATTATCAAGTTACACTATGTAAGAAAAACATTTAAATAATGCCACCGCTGTCACTCTAAGTAGACATATGATGCAAATTACCAGGTTATATCAATATGAAAGATATAGATGTAGTTACACAACAGGCGACATGAGATTCAGAGCATCCATTAGCAAGTGCTAACAAAAATTTAATGGTAAACAATAATTATCAGTTCCACTTGACAAAACAAGAGCTTAGGAACAGGAACATACTCTAGCAGCTTCAAACAAGTAGGTCTCAAATATTTGCTTGAAACTATCCCATTCTTCCTCTCTGAAATAGAGATGGGATCGGACAGCACTGCTAGATTGACAAACATTAATAATAGAATGTTACATAAATCTAAACATGTCTCACCATCCCATAAGGCATTAAGGGAAAGTGAGATCAAAGAACTTCATACGAGCAACAAGTATAAAGGTAACCACAATTTTAGAGGGAAATGGAGAGACTTGAACTCTCAGCTCACAGAGCAACGGTTTCCACCGTTTGTCGGACCACTTGACAACACTCCCAATTCTGGAGAGAAAAGATATTAAGCGGGGTGTCATGTCGCTTCCTCATTGGACAAGCTGACAATGACATTACCCAAGATCCTTTCTTCCATTTTTTATGATAACTTTAATAAATGGTATGCAAAGAAGCATAAATACCTGAAATCATAATCTGGATACATGTGGCTTAGTGTAAGAACAAGATAGATCAGTGTCTTTCGACTGCATTATCAGAAAACCATAATAAGATTGCCAAAACTTTGTATGCTAACTTCCTAAAATCTGTAAATATGTTTTGCTACCTTGATCTACTAGTCAAATACTGCATAGGCGACGCTGAGTCACTATCAGAAGATTGTTCGAGATAATCAAGAATCTGAACCAAGACACCAGGTTAAGACACTTCAATGTCATGAACAGAAAAGCATCAGCCAGTAAATACGATAATCTTATCATCCAGTTGGAAGAAAGATATTTAAACAACCTTCGTAATAAATAAGGTGATATTATTTTTAACACAAAAAACATGCAAAAGAATAGAACATGTTGAAGAAAAATAAATGTTGTTTCCAACCAACACAAATAAAAAAGAAAAAATAAATGCTCGCTTATGCTGATGCTGTCCATAACCACACTGTATTACCCTTACCCGGTGAAAATTTGCACTGTAGTCACATATGCCTAAAAATGTGGTCCAAATATATAATGCATGTGCTCATGTGTGACCGGTTTAGTGGTCTGAACCTAATATAAAGCTAACCTGCTGTAGAGGTCTTAAGACTGTTATTGAGTTGCCTACGTTCATGTTTAAGATATTTCCAAAAGTTGGACAATAGCACCTGATATAGTTATATGCCAAGACCAGGCAATGACCCAACCAATCCTTGGGTCACTAGTCGAACCAATGGGTTAACCAGTTGGGCTACATGCTTGATTAACGATATTAAATATATATATATAATTTAAAGATTAAAAAATAAAAAATTGAAAATTAAAATAAGAAGAAGAAGATAATATAAGTTCAAAAGAAGAATAAGATCATACCGAAGATAGTGGATTCCATAAATGCCAAAAAAAATTTATGATGCTTCATATTCCTAAACAACAATGGTGTAAAGTGATGTGGGATACTCAAGTTAAAACTTGTGAAGTACAAAGAACTCTCCTTGTCTCACTCAAAGGGTCGGGGATAGAGAAGATTTCACAATATATATTAGTACAAGTTATTGTGGTGCTTCTGGTATCAGATTGATTCAGTACAATGTAAAGGATGATACGGAAAAATTGACAATACAATGTTTTCGACACAAGATCTAATCTAGAAGAATCGAATCATTTAGCATGTCATCATCAATCTCTTAAAAAACTTGACTCCTACATTGGAATGTATCATGTCGTCATCAATCCTTAATAGTTAATTGAAAGAACTTCTCAACAACGATTACCTCTTGTTCTAAGCTGAAAGAGAGTTTTCTATCTGTCCCAGTTTGCTTGCCTGAATGACACAAGGAAAGAGACGTCGAACTTCATTTTCTCCAAACAATATCAACAGTCAAGCAAGTAAATCACATATTAAACTTACATGAAAAGGCTTCAAGATTTCCATTTATAGTGCTCTCTCCAAGGCTCAGATGATTAAGGAAAAGATTTATGCTGAACAAAAACAATATCTATTAAGCATCAAAATTTATAAGAAAAAAAAAGTAAGTCTTTTATGTAGTATCATTATATGCAGTTACCAATATTTCTAAGTAATTCCATAGAAATTCAGGAAGCACCTGTCCAAAGGAGTATATTCCAAAAATTTCATCTTGGCAACACTTTTAAAGCACACAGAACCAGGAGGCCCGATTGCTTTGTCACTGAAGCAAAATGCTCTTTGTCCTGAAAGGAAGAAAATGAAAAGGTCACTAACACTATGATGGTTAGGAACTACAGCATCTGACAAAATCCTTTAGAAAGAGTAGAAAAGACGTTTCCTGTTCAACATGCATGGAGCTTATTAATTATTTTGACTGCACACGAAGCTTCCAAGAACCCAGGTTATGACATATACGAAAGAAACAAAGAAAGATAACTATGGCACGTTTGATGTCTCGCATATGCCACAAGAACCACTGAGCAAGAAGTAAAATAACCAAGTATTCTCCAAGAAATTCTGTTAAAATTGATAATAATAAATATTCCTATACGTTTCAATAAAGTATAAAAGTCTAATCACATACCAAAAATCAATACAATCAAGGAAGATGTTATGCAAAAGCTTTAGAGGTGCAAAGTTCCTGAGAAAGAAAAACAATATGAAGAGATAAAAATAATGAATTCGCAGAAAACTTTCTTCTGTGTTGAAATTTTGTGGCGATCCATGCAGCTTAAGATTGTCTGCATCTAAAATTTGTAACTATTTGATAATAGTAGTTCTTTTGGTTAAGGAAAAACTTACCATGGACGACGAAGAATGACGACTAAACTAAACACGTCGTGTTTCAAATCGAACAGAAAAAGCAGCAGTATAGCACGAAAAATATGCACCACATTTGCGGCGAAACTGTCCCGCAGAAAATGAGATAAGATCGACTGCTTTATTGATGACCCAACAGGGAAACCCCATTCCCGCCAACGAAAAAAAAAGAACATCACTGACATAACCTTCGACAACCACAAGTTCAAAGAGCCATCGCATCACGAAACATAAAACTAAGAAACCCTAACTCGGACCTTTTTTTCCAGGTTCGACAAAATTAGACCAAACGAATAGGAATTGAGACCCTCGATCGAGGAAAGGAGCTGCAAGAAAAGAGATCAACGCACGCGTACCTGCCGACAATCGCAGACGAGATGCCTTTTGTGGGCAGGAGATCGACGACCTTCACAAAAGGATATCGAACACACCCAACAACCCTCTCTAATGCTGGTGTGGGCAAGGGATGGTGATTCGAAGAGGGCGGCGTCGGCCGTGAAACTTGTAAACGGGATACACGGTAGAAGTCCATATTAAATTCAGCACTGAAGCGGGCCCCACGTCAAGTGACCAAACAATGATTAGCTAAAATTGTTCCCTGCAATAAATAAAACAGCAACAATTTCCTCCCTCGTTCGCTTCTGTGGTCAAGAATCGGTGACACCTGGACGGTGTTGCTCGACTGTTAGGTCAGGCTAAGAAGCGTATCTTATGAGCTCATCTGGAAATCATTCGAGAGGACCCACATTCTCTGACCAATAAATGTTCGCTCTCAAGCTGTTTGCTGTCGTGAAGATGACAGCAATGGAGTATATGAATTGAGGGACGGCATTATGCTTCGCATATATCAGAAACCCAAAAAAATTGCCACATATTTCCCCAATAAATAAAAAAATTCGTTATCTTCTTATTATAATCCACCATAATAATACATAAGTTATTCATCAAAATATTACGAGCATAATTTATTCTCAACTATTTATTCCATCTTCTCTTTCTATTCACATTATCACTGTTGGGGGTTTTCCTTAAAAAAAAAAAACCTATATTTTAGGTTTTTTTTAATTATACAACCTCTTTTATTTTTTTTTAAATAATACTTCTAATTTAAAAAATAAAATATCTCTTGAAATTTTTCTTGTTAAAATGTTTCATCCATTTTTTTATCAGTTTTCAACTATAGAGTATTTTCATTGAGTTTGTTTATAGTATTTTTTAAATAACATTTATTTTATCTTATTGATATATTAAAAATGTTATAAATATAATTTAAAAATAGTATAAACAGCATCATATCGTATCTCTTTGATTATCTTATAAATCATTATAATATTATATTTTTAAGCTTAATTGAAGTTAGGTGGCTACTTAGATCATTTATAAAATATTTAAATAAGTTTTAAAGTATTTTTATTGTGATGACTAAAATAATATAACAAACCAAAAATATTGTAATACATAATAGATCAAAAATATCATAATAAGTGTTGGTGAACAAATGTGTCTGATGAGTCAGCACGGCCTAGTCCACGGGTCGATGTTGGGAGTCTTCTGTCGGTTGAACTAGATGCCGAGGTCGATCGGGCCTTCGCGACAGGGTGTTGATCAACGTTTCTCGGTCCGTGTGCTGGTTGATGGCTCGTCGTAGGGACATCAGTCGACGACTTCCAAGGTTGGAATGCTTGCGAGTCGAGGGTGGCCGCTTTTTTTCAAAAATGACATTCGTCGGGTAATTCCCGACTTTGGCCCCTCCAATAAGCAAGTCAGTAGTGAGTTGAATTGTTTTTTTCCCCTGAGCCGGATGTCGACCAGAGGTCTTTATACTACTGTACCAGGATCGGTCGTATATGAGTTGGCGTGGTGGTACGTGGGTTGGCGTGATGGTCGTACCCAACAGTATCAACATGTCTTGAGCTTCCGGGATGGTCGTATCAAACAGTGCCTCGGTACGAATTCTGACTTGACGTGTGGGGATGCTCCCCTTGCTGATAATATACCTTATCAATAAGCAAACAAAATTTTGAAAAATAATTTAGATACAGTCAAAATTTAAGATACTATTAAAAAAAAAATACCCAAGTGGGAAATATGAGAAATGGAATAATTTTTAGGAAATATCCTATCATCGTTCATCTTTATGTAATACAGTAAAACTATTCTCTTTGTATTTAAAATTACTATTACAGTTGAACACAAATTTTATTTTCTATAACTTTTGTTCTTCAATTCTCTCTTTTTTTTTTTTCTCCCCCTCCTTTTGACATGTGTGAGGTGTGCCACATAAACAAGGGAGAGCAAGTCAAAAAAAAAATCAAGTTATGTCCTGCAACACATTATTAAAGTATGATGAGCTGTTGGATCTCTCTCTATCTATGAAAGAGAGATGTTTTCATTGCATGATGACCACTCAAATTAAGTGGTGGACATCCCTAGAAAAAAACAGTCTCCTATAAGATACCACTTTGACCAATAAAAAATCATGTCTATAAAATTATTATTTTTAGTTATTATCACATGACTTTGCAGTGTGGGCATTTACTCAGAGTTGATAAAATGTGCTAATCACTGGTGATTTCACATTAAAGAACAATGTGATGATTTCACTAAATTTCATATGCATTCATTTTAATAGCATTTTATTTCTTTGTTTTTTTAATTGGATGATTGAATTAATAATTTAATGATTGTGACATTTATTGGCTTAACAGCTAAGTAGAAGTGGGTGACCAACTAAGTTTTAGAGACCAAGAAAACAATATTTTATCCCAAAAAATGAATGTAAAATTAGAACACCCAATCCATCTCACTCTTAATTCATTCCAATAATATAGTTTTTATTTAAATTAAATTAAATTAATTTAGCTCGTAATAATATTTATTATTTAATCACTAAGGTTTGTGAAGATATTGACTAGATTGACATGTAAATATATAAATAAATAAATATATATATATATATATATATATATATATATATTATTTGATAGTATTTTTATTTAGTAAGATAAAAGGGTGAAATTGAAATGGATATTTTTGGGGCAAATCTTCATAACTTTCTATGGAGATTTACTTGCAATAAATATTGAACATAAAAAAGATATTGGTTGATGCTTAGTAGCCAAGTAAAAGGGACTAAATATAATGTGTTGCTCGGAATTCAGTAGCATGGCTGACTCGGCCTCGAAATTTTTAATGGGTGATCTCGGCCCTCAGACCCAATGGGTGGGCTCCGGTACCGCGTCAACCCTGAAGAGTTTCGGGGTGATTCAGTCAGTCGAAGAAAAGATATGTTTCGTGCGGTACTTTGTGCCACGAGGCGTGTTTATAACGTCGATAAGCCTGAGAAAGAAGAGAACACCCGAGACCATGAACCCCTTTGGTCATCACGGCGGCCACCAACACCACCACCACGGCCAAGAGGAGGAGGATGAACGGCATCGCTACCCTCCGCCGGGCTACCAGCCACCGCTTCCCACGCCGCCGTACTATGGGGGCCCAGCCTACCCGCCGGCCGTCCAGCACGTGTCCCACGAGGGCGGTCCCGGATACGGTCTGCCGGCCGTCCAGCACGTGTCGCACGAGGGCGGGCCCGGCTACGGCCCGCCGCCGCCTGTCTACCCTCCCCCGCCTGGCTACCACGGCGAGGGGAGCTACGGCGGCAGCCAGCACCACCACGGCCCCTCTCCTCCGCCCACCTACCCTCCCGCTCCCGGTCCCGGGGACCATCATGACGGTGGCTACGGCCATCAGCACCATCAGCACCACCACTTCCTCCCGCACTTCCCCGGGGTCCACCACGTGAGCCACGAGAGATGGGAAGGAGAGGCAGCGGCGCCGCCGCCGCCGGGGCATGGGCAGCCGACCGTCAGGATCTACACCAAGGCAGAGAATAACTTCTCTCTGTCCATTCGTGATGGGAAGGTGATCCTCGCGCGCAACGATCCCACAGACCCGTACCAGGCAAGTAAATTTGCTCAAAGATGCTATGTTTACCTCTAAAAATTGGATCTTTCAGTTTTAGTTCTTTGTTTTTCTTTCTTTCTTTTGTTCTCCTGTTGTTGTGTCTGATTTTGCTGTTTTTTGTTGGTTCTCTTTTTCTGGTGTAAAAAAGTTGAGATTTTTATTGTGGGTAGTTGCCTATAAATCTTCCTATATCTTATATTCTTCTACTATGCAAGTTCTGAATTCTTTGCGCTCACGATTTTAACTAAGTTGCTGGTTTGGGGGTCTACCAGGGTTATTCTTTTTCTCCTTTTCACCAGTTTCTTTTGGTGTTGGCAGCACTGGATCAGGGACATGAGGTACAGCACCAAGGTGAAGGATGAGGAGGGTTTCCCAAGCTTTGCTCTGATTAACAAGGTTACTGGTGAAGCTCTGAAGCACTCTTTTGGTGCAACTCATCCTGTAAGTGCAGCTTCATCTATACAGAATTGAATGTTGTTGATTTGATGAATTTTCCCGAGTCATCCAATTTTTTTCTCTTTTTCATCATGCTTGCCTGTTAATTATTGTTCAATTTGGATTTTAGTGATGGACATGCTGGATGTTGGCATGGTATATAAATTGTTTCTTATCATGGTGTGCCTCAATTTGAAAATCTTTTAACTGATCTATTATTTTTGTTTTGAAAAATTAGTGAAATATGTGAGAATTCCTGACATATATTAGATGGATTCAGTGTATTTTTATTGTCTTGTTGAATCACACATTCACTTTTTATTTCAAATGGCTATTTTATCAATTACTGTTGAGTAACTTCATGCTTGCCCCTTACTGCACTTGATCTTGTCTGATTCTGGACTTTTTAAATTTAGTGACACATGTGAGAATTCCAGACGTATATGGATTCAATCTATAATTACTGTCTTATAGAATCAGCCTTTTTCTTTCTAGTTCGAATGGGTATTTGGCCAACTGCCACTCATAACATAGTTAGATTCAATCTATAATTACTGTCTTATTAAATCAGGCATTATTTTTCTGCTTCAAATGAACATTTTTATCAATTACCGTTAAATCTATGCTCCTCTTGCTTATCTTGTTCTTGTTCGATCCCTGTCTTATTCATAATTAAAAAATATATATATGCAGGTTAGGTTGATCCGCTATAATCCAGACTATCTAGATGAGTCTGTCCTGTGGTCTGAGAGCAAGGACTTGGGTGATGGCTTCCGATGCATAAGGATGGTAAATAACATCCGCTTGAACTTTGATGCCTTCCATGGGGACAAGAACCATGGAGGGGTGAGAGATGGAACGATTCTTGTGCTTTGGGAGTGGCTGAAGGGAGATAATCAGAGGTGGAAGATTGTTCCTCACTGTAAGTTTCTGAAAATACTTCTGGTACTTTTTGATAAATTGTAAATAAGAAACGGATCAAGGCAAACATAGTAATCTTATGCTCATATTTCCATTTCCTTTAGCTTTAAGAAATTGAGCTCTTGTATATTACATATTTCCCTTTGTCTTCAGGATGTTGAGCTGTTGTTTATAACCTCTTTGTCTCTTCTGAAATCCTGTTCCCTCTCCAAGTTCCCTAGAATTTCTTGCCTATTGTCAAATTGTAAATGAGAAGTTTAAATCAAACATGGTAAGCTTATTGATCCTTTTTTGCCTCAAGAATTGGACCATTGGTTACTTTTTTGTCTTTTATGTTGTCCATTCTCTCTAGTAGAGTTGTCCTTTAATATTCATTATAAGAAGACATCTGATATTTTTATTCTTTTTTTAACTTCTTCCTTCCAATTGTCTTACCTTTACTATCTTGTGTGAATGTAGGAAAATTCTGATGGAGATTATGTTATATCCTTAATGTGGCTCAGTATCCATCTCTACAAGCTCTCGTTGTTAGTCATATTATTCAGAATAAGCTGTACGTTTCATGTGAGAGTGCTTTTGTTTATCCGAGCAAGAGTGGAGGTTATAGTTTAACAGTGGTCCTTTGTATTTTCATGCTATATCTGAATGTAAACGGTCTCCAGTTTCTTTATGTCTATCTTCGCTGCTAAATATACATGCTAAACAGTTGTTTTATTAATATCATGTGGAATATATTGATTCCGACTCATCTTCTCTTATGAGCAAGGGTTGGTGAAACCCAAATTTCCAAAGTGCACTGAACAAATGAAAGGGACTAACTTGGTTGCTGATGTTGATTTTATGTTTCACAACTGATTTTATTAGGATGGACAACACATGTTAATGGAGTATTCTTAGGTTTTGGAACTATTCTAGTTGATTTGTTTTCACTACCAACATGGAGATCAGATGGAATTGATATAGGAAAGTTGACATTCGGCCATTTGTTTTTGAGTTAAGAGTGAGACCAGATTATTAATTTCACAGGTGAAATTTTAAGTGACATGAAATAATATAGAGGACAATGTTTTGGCCCTTTAGATTATTAATTTCCCTGAGAGCTTTCATCTTTAGAATGTTGTGCACAAAAGGAAGCATCAAAATTGCTAGAGTACATACCACAAGGCTGATTGATATTGCACAGTTGCATGAAACTGAGAATTGATGAATGGGAGTAGCTTCTAGTTGGATGAGTATCATATATCTTGTGAACCCTTTGTTTGAAGTTTTCTTGCAAACTCTCGAGAAGATTTGTTTTACAGACTCTTTCATGAAGTTAGGTTGGGATATTAACTCTGCAACTTTGACATAGACCTCTGGTAGGAACATTTTGACTCATGGTATGATTGATGCATTTCCTGCATTTAGAGGATCTGATGCAACTTCTCTAAGTGTAATTTTCACATGCAGTCAGCCCTGTTCATCTCACAAGTCACTATGAAACAAATGTGTCAATGGTGAGTACTTATCTCACTGATAAGGATGGATTGAGAATGCAGTGTTCTGAAAAGAAATGTACTCCTCTTGAGCCCACTCATCACCATGAATGCTTGATATTTAACAGAGTGCTTCCTTTACACACATCTGTTTTCGTAACTTCTGGTGATCTTCATATTGGTTTTCTTATAGTGGTTCAGATGCTCTCAGTCTATTCTTCCTTTTGAGCATTTTATATTCGTATTATTTTCTCTTATACACATGATTTATTCATGCTATATACACATTTGCTGGGCATTTCAAATTTGACTACCTTCTATGTGTTTCTTGGGAGTGCACAAGGATCAAATGGATTTTGTATTGCTGCTTGTTCTCACAGTGAGTCTGCATCCAATGCTTGCAGAATTTAGAGCATCAACATTATTTTTCATGCTGTGAAAGGTTGTATTATTGCATGTCAAACATTCCCTTTGGTCAGTGAGGACAGCATCTTCTGTTCTTTGTCCATCTCAAGCCATATCTCTGCAACATTACCATTGTAAAGATTGTGAGTGTTCCATATCAGTCCAAGCCCTCCCTGCATCAGCATAAGGTGCTTTCATATTGGTTCCATGAGGTGTTTATATCTTGGTTAAAGCACCTTATAATGTCTGACATACTTCCATTGTTGTAATTGATTTGAAGAGAAGGAATATACTTGTGACAGCATTACGATATGAAATATGTGAGGACACTGCAGCATGTGCCATTAAGATTAGTGTAGAAGCTATAGATGATTTCACTTGTGGTGTTCAAAACGAAGGAAAGACTGTAGCAAATAGGTTCTTTAATGACACTAAAATGAGAGACAACAAAAAAAGACTTCTTTGTGTATATACACATATAAATATATTTGTATAGAATGAGAAGAGGAGAAGAATATATGATCTTTTACATGACACGAGACAGAGAGATGGGACAGCTTCGAGTCTGAGGTGATGTATGCTTGTGATGTTGGATAACTTATGGCCCAAATGATTGATGTAGTTGGATGATGCTGACAGGACCAAATCTTGTTTAGTTTTTGGTGGACATGACAACATTATTTGTGTTCATGTGAAGCTTCATATTTTAGTGCAACTGCAACTCTGCAATCATCACTTTTCATGGAGTTGAGGAGCTCTACAAATCACCGATCACTCGTGTGCAAAGCAATTGATATAATCCTAGTTGATAGCTACGAAACATATTAGCATTAACTCTAAATGCCATTTCAAATAAGGCAAGTTGGATATATATTTCATATTTTAAGATAATTAATCTCTATGAGCCATTATAAGTTAATTGCTTAAAGACTCATTATGATGCTAAAATCATTAATTAAATTAAGGTGCTCTTTACATTTTGGCATATATAAATATTAACTATGGCTAAAGATGGAAATTAATGATATATATATATCAAAAAGGTTGGTTTCAAGCTTTGCAATGATATCAATAAAGAGTGAAATGAGGCAAAAATATAGTGGTGAATGTATTATGCATGGTATGCAACTACCACCCGGTACTGGCGATACACACCGGTCCGACGGTATATCGGTACACGGACCGCTCGCTACTGGACGACCATGCTACAGTGCTACAGTAGTACACTATAGTAGTGTTACAATGTTACAATGGAAATCGCTCGGTAAGTTCTGATGTACCGCTCGATACATTGGTACTGTACCGCATCGAGCTAACCTCGAAATACCGGAACGATATGGTATTACATACCATCTCTTTTTAAGTTTCATGAGAACTATTTGTTGGAACATATAATAAATACCAAGTACAAGAAGGGAATTACAGTGCAATGTTCATTGTCTTAGGGTGATTGATATATCATGTAAGGATAATTAACTTATTAAGATTGATATGTAGGAGCTTTCTTACTGTCACATTGTGCCATTTTGCTAATGATATTAATTCCTACTTGCTATTGTTAATATGGTGTTCAACGAGTAAGAATGTGAACAAAAAAAATTGAGTTTGAATTGTCAGGTCAAGTTTTTGTTTTCTGTCTTCATATTTTTTGTTGTTTATGCTGAAAAGAGAGATGAACAAGTCTTGGTTTAGATTGGATCAGCTGATCCCTGTCAAGCATTGCAATAATTCTCACAAGAAATGTCTGCACCACCACCATATGCATTTCAATAATCCAATTGACTAATTAATCATTTGTTGAATTTGACATCATGGCAAATCACATGCAATGAAATTAGTGTCTTCCCCTTCATGAACAATTCCTTTTTTCTTGCCCTTTCCTTTGGGGTTTTGTAGTACAGGAACACTGTTGATGAAATATTTTGTGAATCAACATGATTGCTTTTCAAGGTTTAGTTCACTTCAAAGATTAGATCAATCTGCAACAATATTTGGCTTCATGCAAGTGACTTTTCAGATGACTACAACAATTTTTTTGGTACTTCAATGCATGAATAATTTGATGTCTGAATTCAAGATCTGAAGTAAACACCTTCAAACTTGAAAAGCAAAACATATGCACCAAAAAGAAGCAAAAGTATAAGCCAAATTTCTGCTGTGTCATCAATTACTTCAAACAAAGACCACTGGGACTGCAGTTTGATGTTCTATAAGCTTCCAGTGTTAGGTTGACTCAACCTGGTCGAGGTGCATGTTCCTGTGGGTCAGAGTTACCTCTGACTCGGTTGTTTCCTTCACAAGATGACTGATTCAGACATAGCAGTAGATTCCGGGAAACTACACCATCCAAGATGAAGGTGATGGGTGATGAAAAGATTGGGATTTGGGAGAGAGGAATACCAGGACGAACTCTATGTATTATATTGTGGGTAGAGAGAATATTATGGGTAATGAAGCCAATAACAGTGGCATTAAAGAACCCTAGTAGCTTCTCTTGGAAGTGCCTTGAGCGTTACGTATCTTATCCTTCGATATGACTAGTCATCTCTCTATTTCTTTTCCTTTGTTACATCGACCCCGACATCACAGCAACCTTCCCTTTGTTTCCTTCTCCTTGGATCTCCATCTCTCTACCGTAATTGTCTGTTCTTGGGATCTCCAAAGCTTCCTTATTCGAGGTGCACGCAACCATGGTGGATGACTGCTGGGACTTGCCCCCTGGCTTCAGATTTCACCCTACGGATGAAGAGATCATCACTCACTACGTCATGCAGAAGATCATCAACCACTGCTACACAGCAAGAGCTATCGGAGAGGTGGATCTGAACAAGTGTGAGCCATGGGATCTTCCAAGTACTGATGCTTCTCTTCTTCCTCAAGCTTTCCATGCCTTGTACCTTTCCTTGTTGCTGTCCGGTTCTAAGATTTTGGTGCATGCATGTTGTGTTGTTCTGTGCTAGGCAAGGCAAAGATGGGAGGAAAGGAGATGTACTTCTTCTGCCAGAAGGACAGGAAGTATCCAACTGGCATGAGGACCAACAGGGCCACTGAAGCTGGCTATTGGAAAGCCACCGGGAAAGATAAGGAGATATGTAGGGGAAAAGGAGTCCTTATTGGCATGAAGAAAACCCTTGTGTTCTACAAAGGAAGAGCTCCCAGAGGAGATAGGACTAATTGGGTGATGCATGAGTTCAGGCTTGAAGGCAAATATCCTCTCTCCAATCTCCCCAACTCTGCCAAGGTACTATTATCCTCTCTCTCTCTC